ACATGTACTACCGTGTGACCCGGCACACCTGTGCGGGTGGGTGATTGGCGGGTGCAGAATTCTACACTAAGTGTAGAATTCTGTGTTGGCGGGTGCTCTGGTGTGGTTTGCTCCTTCTTTGCCATCAAACATCTATCGTCCTTATCTCCCCTCCTTCTTTTTTTTGTTTGTTACTCTCTTGTAACACCTCTAATTTTCAGCACTTATTTGACCTTATTGTGTTGCAAGTGCCGTAAAACTCTTACTAAAACTTTTTTAAAACTAAACTCTCTTGTAACACCTCTAATCTTCGGCACTTATATGACCTTATTGTGTTGCAAGTGCCGCAAAACACTGACTTACTGAAACTAAAACCCAGACGCCCCACACCTACGTGTGATCTGCCATCTTTGTTTGCACTACCATACATTGTCATGTGACCCGGCACAGCTGTGTGAAGATTGGAGATTGAAATCCCCACCGCCGACCACAACTACAATACTGGGTAGTGGCAGGCAAGACGGAGAACACAGGCTTTTATTCCCGTGTGGTTTGCTGGCATTCAGGCCTGTGGTTTGTTCCTACCTGCTCTTTTCACTTCCACCGTCTTGCAAGCAAGTGCCCACAGGCGTTTAATTGCAAGGGGTGTTTGGTTTTTATGGCTTATTTCTTTGTCGAAAATGCCGGAGACCCTTTCGACTTCAAATTGACACCTGTGTGGACTAATACGGTCAGAAACGCCGTATTAACCAACTTGATGCTTCGTCCTAACCCGCCGGCCTTGAATTACACAGTTGCCATCCCATCCCCCCCCCTCTCTCTCTCTCTCTCTCCCTCTCTCTCCCGCCCTCTCTCTCCCGCCCTCTCTCCCTCGCCCCGTCTCCCTTTCATGTTGCGTCTGATAACAGCAGTTTGGCACAGTATAGTGCATTCAATTGGCCTGTTAGTGTTGAAATCACTTCAACAGTTCCAACAACAACCCCATTCAGTGTGTGGGTGGTTGGCAGGAGCTCTGGTGTGGTTTGCTCCTTCTTTCCTATCTAACATCTATCGTCTTTATCTCCCCTTCTTCTTTTTTGGGTTTGTTACTCTGTTGTAACACCTCTAATCTTCGGCACGTATAATATAATTATGGCGTTATTGTGTTGCAAGTGCCGTAAAACTGGTACTAAAACTAAATCCATTCTGTGTAATCCACAAGTGTGTTGTATGTGTACAGATATTTCGCTCTTTATAGTTTAAATGAAACTTGCAATGAATCAAGACAAGAACGCATGAGTGGGTGGTTTGCGAGTGCTCTGGTGTGGTTTGCTCCTTCTTTCCTATCAAACATCTATCGTCTTTATTTATATCCCCTCCTTTTTTCTTGTGTTTGTTATTCTCTTGTATCACCTCAAATCTTCGGCACTTATATGACCTTATTGTGATGCAAGTGCCGTAAAATTCTTACTAAAACTAAGAAGACGCAAAGTTCTATTTCTGTGTGCTTTAGATTTTAGTTTTTGTTTGTTTATTTGTTTGTTTGTTCGTTCGTTCTAAATTTCTAGTCTCTCTCTCTCTCTCTCTCTCTCTCTCTCTCTCTCT